TTTCTGAACATAATTGTGGGTCAATTTAACGGACTTTAGAATCGCATTAACCCTCTCCAAATGCTTGCGCGAGGAGCAATGTAAGGAGTGGTCTCACCAAACAGCGTGATATTTTTGGCTTCCGTTGAGAAAAATAGAAGCCGTGACTATAAAATACGCGACAAGAAGATAAAGCACCCATGAAAAAGGCACACACGGAACCTGTGTGCCCCTTCATGATGCTTTCCTCAATCTGTGGTGTATCGAGGAGGGATGCATCAGTGAGCTGGTTTTCTGTCTCCGCCCACATGATCAGCGTGGTGTATACTCCCTAATGCGCATTTAGTCTGCCACATGATATGTCTGAGCTCATTCTTCAAAATACTGTTGTTATACCGATAGTCAGGCCAGGTACCGAACAAATAACTCGGTAGTGATGGGTGGAGACTCAGCTGTCCTCGGTGGCACTTAAGGCAGAAATCGTGCGCGTGGTAGAGAATACTCTTTCTACTGGCCCGACCGCTCCTATCGGACAAGTTGAATCTGGTGGATGATGGGCTTCTGAAGTTGTTGGGCTGAGTGGTAGTCTCACACATAAAAACCGTATGTGCGTTGCTCATCGTATGGACGATCCATTTGGACCCTTGCACCTTCCCCATTGGTGCGCCTCAACTCGTTGCCTTCTCGAGGTTACAAGGAAAGACCCACCAATGAGAAGGACCCAGTGATTAAAGTGACTCCGCCCACGCGAAATGGACCTTGAGATCTGTAAAATGAAAGCTCTGTCACCGTTCTGCCGCGGTTTGCCCAAGTTCCACTCATTTATTTGGCGCTAATTTTTTTGTGTTTCGATACATCTTACACCTATGATCATTTTCTTCTTACAGGAAGCATGAAGAGTTCAGCTTTCATCCTTCTGTTGACACAACAGAGGTACCTCGCAAACGAAAGGATCGAGGGTGAGAACGTTGTGTATTCACAGAGCCTTTCACTGATCCACTGTCCCTGGGTTTCAGGAACTCGAGTCATCCAGTTCGCTTGTCGTGTTCCGTGCAACAGATGAACTGTTTTCTGCACAGTAACGACCACTGGAAGACTCCACCTTTGTGGCCTGATGAATACGGACAATTCTGTTTCTGTCAGAACTCCAACAAGTTAGTAATCCATCAGTGCTTGTCACTTCTTATTTCCGATATCACGCATAAGAACCCGCTAGTTCGACGCGCGCTCTGAATTTTGTGACCAGCAGACATACGCACATGCAGTCGTGATCCCTGCAAATGAAGGGGCGAGTTAAAGACAGCGCCCGCGATGGACTTTGGCAGGTCTTAGGGGTCAGATTTGTTAGAACAGGTGGCAAGTGAAGCATTAATCAAAAAAAGTAGGAAAAAGGGTGCAAGAACATGGAATAAGACCCTATTCGATTTAAGGCATCTGGACGAGTTTCGCAGATTTTGGGTGAGTTCTCCAAAATACATCGCCGCCTCGTTGCGGCTAATTCTCATGAGGCCACTACCTAGGTTATCTATCTAATCTAATTAATCCACGCTGGCATTGATAATCGATCTGTCTATGAGTTAATCTGTCTATCAGTGTACGAAACGAACGCTAGAAATTTAGCGATTATCAAAGCCAGCAAGGATTGATAACTGTTAACCAGTCGGGGCGGGATTAACAGGACAGGCGGGTCAGCTTAGCATTGTTGACTCCGCCTTCGTCAATCAATCGATTTCGAGCCGCAAGAGTGGGATATCCGCTGTGGTTGCGGACTCCGCGATCTTGTACAGTGCAGGGTTTTTCACCTTGGTTGATCGCGGACGCTGCCTTTAAAGGCTGCAGGTCAAGACGCAGCTAGGATGGCTCTTCCACCAATTTGAGTGATATTATTGGTGGAAAGAGCCGCCGTGGCTGCGCTCTAATCCACGTTCCCTCACACGCCCTAGCGTTTCCAGGGATAATGGTAGTGCAGTCGCAACTCTATACAGCAGCATGCTTCGAAGAAACGATTTCCATTTGGTACATAGCGTAGTACTGGATAGATGCTTCGATTAATAACAAGTACAGGTTTGGGCGCTTTCTGCGCCACAGCGCTAGTTCGGTGTTGAGCTTGTGTCAGCTTCAGATGGTGGGCAGTTCCACTGGGAACAGTTACAGTAAACTTTGGCGTAACTTCCATAGTTGATAAAATGCGAGAATCTCGTCTCCGATGGTATGGCCACGTACTTCGCGCGAAGGCGGACACCGTCTGCAAAACTGGTCTCCAGCTCGAGGTGCTCGGCAAACGACCGAGAGGACGCCCCAGGCAACGTTGGCTTGACACGCTGCACGCGGATTTGAAGATAGTTGGTGCTCACCCTGATCAGGCATTCGACCGGAATAAATGGCGTAACAAAATCAGGAGAGCGGACCCCGCTACAGAGCGGGACAAACGCTGAAGAATAAGAAGAACAGTTACAGTAAACTGACGCATGGTCATAATGAATAGTTGAGGAATCAACATTTCGTTTCAGCAACACTTACTGGTGCCTGAGGACCATCAACGAAGTCGAGAACTTTTTATATTGCGAGTTTGTCACCGAGTTCGTCAGCTACTACGATTTGAACGAAGATCCATATCAGGTATTTTCGGCTCTTTCGAAAAGATGTTGCCTATCCATAAATTTGCTCATAACACCCGCTTTCGCTTTCAACCGAACACTTCTTGAACCAAAATCGGGCACTTTCCAAATCAGGCGCCAGCCGCTTATTGTTGAATAGAAGGGTTAGTTTATGCCGCGGTTTCCACCCAGTAAACGGCATGAACAAGATAGTTCATGGCTGTGGTTGTAGCATTTTTCCCCTCAGAGAGCAGTCACTCGTATAATATTTTCAATGAAATATTTGCCCGATCATATCAACTGAGTTATCTAATTCATGGAACTTCAGTTGCACAACATCGTGTATTCGTTGGAAATGAGCACACTGGAGCGATTGAGCGAACGTCTACGACTGCTACGAGAATGCAAAGGCGCCTCTTGTGAGCGTTATTCCGGTACCAATTGGGAGCAACACATTGAGCCACCACTCACGGCACCACATCCTTGAACACCTTGCAAAATTATCACAGAGTAGTTGGATTGATTTGCCTTGACGCTTCATGTCAGGGTACCTACATGCGATGACAGAAATTTCTCAGCACCACCGCTTGCCTGCAAATGACTATAAAATAACTTCTGCCCCGTGGGATGATGTATCAAAACAGTTACAGTAGTGTACAGTTGTTTAAGCTGCAGAACAGGGGATTTGAGGGAGTCTGGGCTTCGGAGAGCGCCAACCCGTTTTCCAATTATCTCTTGCTGCTGGAACAATCAAGGGAGAACCGGCCAAACCCAGCCATCTGACACGCCTTGACGTCTGGGGCGAGAACTACTGTTTGTTTTTTTCACTGCTTAACAATATTGTCAGATGGTACCTTCATTGCCTTGACGTTTCCTCCCTGACTTAAACTCAAAGATAAGTTTTTAAATGGCCGATCCTCAGAGGTTAGTTAGTTTCTGTTTCGCACGTGCCGTTAGGAGGAAGCTGAACAT